TTGTTGTTTCATTCGTACAGTTAACGTGCGTTTCCGAATTCCGGTGTGGTATTCAGAGTAGTGCTGGTTTGAAAAGCAGTACAGTCATTCGACCACACTAATCATATATTGGATGGTCAACCGCACATGCACGCGGCTGACATACCGTTCGTGAAATGCAGCCCTCTTCACTGTATGACATTTCAAATGCGCTTGGGTGGTCGATTGAATACCACACGCTTGGGTGGGGTCAAATTTGCCCCCCCCCCCTCAGATATCTAAAGCTAAGAAAGCTAGAGGCACAAAATGATCAGGGTAGAGTGGCCTATGTGTGAACTGACTTGAGTAAAACCAAAAATAGATGCGTGGGTCATGACCTTCTGGTGAAATCAGGTAAAACAGGGCTCAAACTCCAGATTGGTGCCCAATGTGCCCCAGACCTCGTCATTGAACTGCCTTGAACCTAGACACCTGTTCCAAGCAAAAGGTCGCTGGTTTTGTTAGGTCAGTGACCTTGTTTGACCCTAAAAAGGTCACGGTGGCTAAAAATATGCGAGATTTTTTGGAATTTTGCGTTCAAATAGGCGTCAACAACTACGCTGGGCTGTATGATTCTAAGAATACCAGTTTACCTGGGTCGCTTTAGGTCAGTGACTTACTCCGACTTTTGAGAATTTCATTAAAAAAATATCTATGCGGTCTCTGTTACCCAGAAAATATAAACGAGCATCAGAAACTAACCGACAAAGCAATGCATCCCTTAAAAACAGTTTGGTGTTCACCTCTGTCTGACTGTGGTGCCTGACCCGAGGTCGATGAAATTTGCTGTAATGTTTCATTAAAATCTTTAATTGTCAAATAATTTATCTTAGAGATACGTAGATTAGTCTAGCGCTCTGCTGTTGCATCTAGCGGCTGATACACGATTTCTATTTGATATAATGATAACTATTTCCTGGAAAATGCCATTAATGACAGCCATGGCACTTCTTGTCCCAAAAGATGCACTATTCAATTGCCTACAGCTATGCAAAATTTGTCGCGGCTGTAGCTCGTCTTTCAGAAGATATTCTGGAAAAGCTTTTGGTGTGGGCCAAACTGGCCTCTTCACCCGAGCCGCAACTCAAGACATAAACTTTGCACGTCTGACGACATTTGTAAGCTTTGCTAGGCACAACTTAAAGCACAGAAATTGAGATATGTTATGTGATATGGGTGTGGCGAAAACTTGTTAGTGCTTGCTTCGCCTTTCAAGTGGATTAAATTTTTAGTTCAGAAGCCATGCTAAACAGTGTTTGTTGCCAGATTCCCCATCCGATCGTGTTATTTCAGTGCAACGGTACCATTTTGTGGCGGAAGTTTGACGTACCGTAATGTCTGACACTCTCCATCGTACTGTCTGACGTCACCTGAGCTTTCGCACGGCCGCTGCCACCGGTAGCATTCCATCTCAGGCAGGGGGAAATTGCCAGACCTTGAAGTGACTCAAACGTAATGCAACCCAGATTGTACGAAATAAACAATGGTTTGTGAGCATCTCACAGAAAAGTTCAGCTGAGCTGCATCGCTCATCAAAAGTTTGGACTGATCTATTGAATGAAATGAGTCATTCATATCAGTACAGGATGTTGCGTTTCGCTGTTCTTGTGTGGGTAAGATGCGCTTAAATTTGTCTCTTTTATGCCTAAACTGTACCTTAGAAACAGTGTCAATGACGTAACGGTAAAATAATGTCTTGTCATTCCTCTGGCCTCGTCCACGGATTGGTGCTGCCTGTGTTTATTTTTGTATCACGCGCGCCACAGCTATCGAAATCATAATGGTGAGAATGCTGAGTCTGTCTGCTTTTCACATCGGGACCTCCTGATTCACAAAGAGCCTGCCGTTCTAACAAAAGGATCTCATCGTTGCTAAAGACATTATCTTGATCCGAACCCGGGGCATCCTTGTTCGAAAAGACGGTATCTTGGTCCGTACCATGAGCCTCCTAATTCATAAAGGAATCTTCTGAGCATAGCTCTCCATCTGTCTCAGCCGCTTAAGCATAGAATGGCTTTCTAACCCAGAACAAGGGCTTTCTGATTTGCAAAGAGAGTCTCCAAACCCAGCAGTGCTAGAAAACTACTTCGTTACGCCAAAACAATACCTTCTGATCCTTACAATAGGCCTCATGATCCATAAACTGGTCCTACCGTGCCAAAACAAAGAACTCCCGATATATGGCGGTGCCTCTGAATCTAAGAGGGCCTCCAGATTCATGGAGCAGTCAGTTAAGGGGTCTCCTCGCCCCACCAAAACATGACCTGATTCAAAGCAGGGGTCACTTAATTAATATAGATGGCTTCCTGGTTTAGCAAATGAACCCTTTCATGAAGAAATGGGTTACTTTACTCTCCAGCTCAATTCCTGGAAACTAGTTGATCTGCTTTTTGAATGCCATATGTGAAAACACCAAGCCTTAAGTTTTGAATAAAAGTGGCCTCCCAAAACTTTGGGATCAAAAATATACTAACGCACCTTGCCTGCCGGCGGGGGGCAACTATCTTCTCTGCCCTCTACCCCTACTGCTGTGCCACCCCTACCTGGAAGTAAACCCAGCATAAATCAATCCTGTTAAAACTTGCAGAGGTCAGCAATTATCGCCAGTCCCTTCTATACCAGGTCGGTTAACTCCAGACATCAACTACGTCAAAGTGACGCGAGCCAACTTCCTGCGAATGCTGGAAAACAATCCCGTGCTCTTTAAATGCTGCGTTCGAGTATGCTGAGCAAAGAGGGACATATGGCTCTGTACGCAATGCGATGGACCCAGCTGAGAGGTCTTCGGGTCGACGCGGCGGTGCATGTAGCGCCCACACCGCTGTGAGAGCCGGCGGTCGGACTGACCGGAGCGGAGCGAGCCCCGGGCGTCTCCGAACGCTGCCGTCGGCTTCAGCGTCCGCCATGGATCGTGTGGTGACGCGCCAGCGGGCTAGGTCTTGACACGAGCTGCGGGTCGCGGCTTCATTGTCGCAGCCCGCGACAGTGACACGAGCAGAAAGACTGGCAGGAATTAGGACGCGGCACGAAGTGAGGCATTGGCCCGAGTTGGAACATTGACACCAGCTGCGACGCCGGAACGAAAGTTAAATAGGAGTGGTGTGATGGATCAGCTCTTGCGGGAACACCGAGATGAGCTGGGCGGTGGAAGCCCGGGTAAGCTATTTAAAAGGCGGGCAGAGTCCAGTGACGAGTCTGCCCTGGTCCGACTAGCACTCCAGCCCTAGTGGCTGGTCGCGCCTCCGCAGGTCGTCGGAGATTCCGGAGTCGGAAGTGGCTGCACAGCTGCCTTTCAACGTGAGAGGGGCTCGCCTCGCTCGAGTGTCTCAATAAAACGTGCTTCCTCGCCCGGCCACATGTCATCCCTGACATTTTCATCTGAAGATTAGAGAGCGTCTTAGCTTCTCCCATGTCAGAATGTCAGAGGCAGTGCGATGAATTATGTATGGTCTGACCGCGTAGGGAACCGGAAGGTCAGTCGGTGCTGATGCAGCGCGCGGCGTTCCTGAGAGCCGCCGCGGCTAGCACAATACCGACAGTCATGCAGCCACCACGGCTCCCGGATTGCTGAGACACCGTGCAATCTCGCCTTACATGTACATAGATGTCACACTTGGTCACCGATGGCAACGCATCGGCTTGCATGGGGCAAATGATGCAGCAATGGGGCAATGAATGATGTATCATAGGGTGAGAGAAGCTGCCCCGAAATCGAGCGGTGGTGATACAATGCCGCGTTGTTAGGAAACCTCCTATTGGCGCCGTCTTTTCGAAGTCAGTGTGGTCGTGGTGACGCGTTTGAGGCGCCATCATCCCAGCCTGATGTAGGCAGTTGTTCTCTGTATCGGACTGATAAACGTGACTGACCAATAGGTTAGCGGAAGAACTGAGACGAAAAATTAGTTTCAGGGCTATCGTTTTCGTCTTGAATGATGGTACGTACATCGTGTGCATAATAACCCACCAGACACTAGACTATAGTCTGGCGGACACAGGCTTCACGAAGCTGCAAAGTGCTATTGTGAGTGCTGCAGCTAAAGCACATATAGTCGCACCTCCCTGTTTCAACTGGCCCTGAAATAGCATCATATATGACGGAACCCTGAAAATAATGTCACATCTACAACACCGCTATTTTTTTTTGGGGGGGGGACTGTGTTAAATCTTTTTTTTTAACATCGCCTGGATTCTGTTCGGATGGTGCCAGCTCGACCAACAAGATTTCAAAATATGATGGATGACTCCGTCGCTCGAGGTTTCAAACTCACCACGCGGGCAGGAATTTTAAAACATTTGACGTGCAAAAGGGTTAAAGGTTCGTCGAACACTGAGGCATCTACATAAAACATTGTATGGTGCACATAAGCCGTTTTTGTGCCGGTGTGAAACGTAGAAATGCACAGCCGTGATGTAAACATCACCTCTGATAGATGCTTGTCAGAGTACTTTGCCTGTTATGCCTGTACGTGGATACGAATTCCAAACACGGTCCGAAAGGATGATTTCAATGAAGCTAAAGTGCTCGCAAACATGACTAAGGTGTCCATGCATGATCTGTTAACCAAACTGAGGTTAACAAAATGGCATACCATTTACGTTACTGCGATACTTTTCAGTTAATTCAACTTGGTTTTAGTTTAACTGAACGCTGAACAGATCACTCAAAACTGTACATCACACGATGCAATGTTTTTATGTACAGATCTTACTATATATATATATATATATATATATATATATATATATATATATATATGTATATATATATATATATATATATATTAAACACATATTATTTATGTATCATATATTATATATGCTCCCATTATATATACATCCGACAGTCGCCACGCTGGCGCACAGCTACATGCCGATTTTATCTCTCCATATCTCCTTCTCGTGTGACCCCTGGGCAAAAAGGGAAATTGGTCTTGATTCCCACAAGTATCCGTGACTTCCGACGAACCGCCGGAGCTATCATCATGATGAAGGTGCGGTTCCGCAGTGCGGAAAGGAAAGGCGACATTACTTGCCCTCCCGCCGTCTTCTCATCGTACTCTTGACCGAAACTTCATGATGCTGCCAATGGGCAGATGAACTGTTGATCAGTTTTATGTCAGCATAGGCCGCCTAAACTGCGTTATAACAATAGTCGTAGTGCAAATAGTGCGACTTGCAGAACTACGATGGTGGTAGTTCCACGGACAATGCTTAGCACCAAAAGCTTCGGTCTGTACACTATCTTGCTCAGAATACAACACTGTGTTGCTCAAAACTTTACATAATTAGTATGGCAAAACGACATTTCCGCCTCGTCACAAAGTGGCTGACCGATTGCCGTCGTGGCGCAGTCGCAAATTACGTCTCTACGGCAAGTGGATGCAGCCAAATGTCCTATATGCGCATTTGAGAAGGACGTGTTTGAATTGACCGGCATAACTGATTCTCGTTCGATCTCATTCAGCGAGCTTTAGCAGCGTCATATATTCCTGATTCCAGCCTCGGACTGACATCCGATTGTTATCGCTTGGTGATCCGGCTCATTTCCGTCGCTAGCACTCGCCAATATAATACATATAGTGTCGTTAGGCTCAGCCTATTATCTTAGCTCCAATTTGCTTTAAATATTGTTGCTATGTTGATTATGAGAGGTTGCAGCATTCTCCGAACAGCTATAGCTGTCTCATGGAGAAGGAACATCATCATTGATTTTAATATGATGGAGATGAGTCAAACAGTCCTGAACTAGTGCACTAAATGGGATGATTGCTGTCGTGCTTTTCGTCATGAGCATGCGGCCGCAGTACTTCGGGTGGCATTCCAGCCAACTGTCTCACGCCCACGTCTCCCCCCCCCCCCCCCCCACCCACTTCAAGATGTCGCCGCATCGCCCAAGCTCGCGAAAGGAGTGATACAGTCGGCAGGCACGATGCGTGCGACGTCCGCCGTCCCCCTCGTGCTGCTGGTGTGCCAAGCGAGTGCGGCTGGCTGCTCTAGCGTGCGGAACCGGACGGTGCCGGCGGCGGCGCGGACACCGTTGCTGCTGCAGGCGCTGGATCCGGCGGCGCCGGTGTTGGCTGGACCCCGGCCCCGGCCCCGGCCGCGACGCTTCGTGCGTGAACGCGACCGGCCGCCCAAGTACGTGGCCGAGATAGCCGGGGACCTGGTGCTGGGCGGCCTGATGATGGTGCACGAGCGCGGCGAGGCAAGCACCTGCGGGCCGATCATGCCGCAGGGCGGCGTGCAGGCGCTGGAGACGATGGTGTACACGCTGCAGTACGCGAACGCACACCCCACGCTGCTGCCCGGCCTCAAGATCGGCGCTCACATCCTGGACGACTGCGACAAGGACACCTACGGCCTGGAGCAGTCCATCGATTTCATCAAAGGTAAGCTGGTTGGCACGTGCGGTCGTGTGCCCGAGAGGGCCAATGACCGGCCGACATCGGCCGGAGCAAGGGGCGCGGCGATGGTGGTGGATTGGGCAGGTATCGCTCCGGTAAGGCGGAGCTAGGCTAGCCGTCGGGAGACCAGAACGGACACCAAACCTTAATGTATTGTATTGACACGGTCCTGCCAGTCATAACCTCAAACTCGGTTTCATCTTTAAGAGACAATCATTTCGGGCCTTTTTGTGCGAGAATGTGAATTTATCGGAAACCAGACGTATTGTGCATGCAGCGGCCCGTGGGACCAGAACGCGACCGAGGTGTGCCGTTCCGATGACCTTGCGTGACGCGCGCCCGTAAAATGGCACGACGATATATCAGCAGCGCGCAATTCTAAAACTGCACAAAAGAGTCCGAGTGGGTCTGATCTACTGTAGCAATATATCTGAGCGAATTAGGGACAGTCATAACAGCTGCATTAAATTGGTTTCGCTGCGTCCGTTTCGCAATGTCGTCAAGCGTAGCATAGATTGCTAATGCTATCCACGATGCACTTGAAGGTTGGATGCAAACTTGCAGTTGTGATTATGCAGACTGGCTGCACTTTGCCCGCATGCAGTGGTGGTAATGTATACTTTGTTCTTTTAAAACGAAAGTTCTCGGACAGTTATAACATTTCTAGACACCTTGACCTCGGAATGATTCGATTTCTCCACATAACGGTCCGCCGACGGGTCTGATCCAAATGGATGCCTCAGGCCAAACTGAGCCCCAGCTGAACACCGTAGTTGATGGCAAATCATGAATGGGTTTATTATGATGAATATGATATGCAACTAATATGATATGACCGTTATTAATGTATGTTGAACATGATATGACTGTTATCAACGTTATTGCAACCCATGAAATGCAGTTTATAAAACAACTTTCGATTTTTCCTCTAGAAAATTAAGAATGTGGTTTACAACGTGCGCCAGACAACAACATCGATGTTACACGTTTGCATAGCACCGCCAGCGGACGGAGCTGGTCTTCAGCTCTGCTGCACGGACCGCGTGGCACATCACCGGTGCAGCCCGGCCTCTAAGCACCGTGTCGCTATTCTGAGCGGCGGGCTCGACCGTAATACCAAAGTCATCAGACCGTTCGCACGACGTCCGGTGCCGTAAGCCTTGACCTGCCTTCTGGTGACTGTAGGGACAGGGAGACAGGCCAAGTGAGTGTCAATCGTGATTCGTCCACGCATTCACTGAATCATCAATCGACTCAATCACTCACCCTCCCTTTCTCTCTCTCTCTCTCTCTCTCTCTCTCTCTCGCTCTCTCTCTCTCTCTCTCTCTCTCTCTCTTCTCTCCTCTCTCTCTCTCTCTCTCTCTCTCTCCTCTCTCTCTCTCTCTCTCTCTCTCTCTCTCTCTCCTCTCTCTCTCTCTCTCTCTCTCTCTCTCTCTCTCTCTCCTCTCTCTCTCTCCTCTCTCTCTCTCTCTCTCTCTCTCTCTGTTTCTTCTCTCTCGCTCCTCGCTCTCTCCGCCTCGTTTGATTGCTCTCGCCAGTTAGATATGCCGGTTATGCAGTAGTTTAGCTGCGCCGGCCCTGATCGAGGTTCTGGCGCCGGCCCTTCCCTCTAGGACCAGAGGCAGGCAGCGACATAAAGCCTCACTAGCTGAGAGCATTGTAAAACTGTAATGACAGCAACGACTTTTATCGCTCCCGCCTTCCGTCTGTTTTCAGACAAAACTTACCACCCTTTATGGAATATGGTGTGTTCATTTCATAGCATCATGAATGCACACATTTGAGTATCTGTACTTCCAGACCGTATCTCCCCTTGTTTTCGCATCAACGCGAACTTCATCGTGCGCGACAAAAACAGTCGGGGGCAAATAAAGGATGGAACGAGCGTCCTGCTTTAGCTCTCATCTTCAGGGGACCAATAACTCAAAACCTTGGGTCTGTTGCCTCGAAAACATCTGGTAGGGGATTTGTTAAGGTCAGAATAATGTTGGGGTACAGGAAGGCAGAAGAATCGAGGGGATACGGAAATTGGATAATACGGCGAGTGGTTCCATGCACACGAAAACCACTTGTTTATAAGCTATGCCAATCGTTTTGAGGTCACTCAGGGCTGTTAAAACGCTAAAATCTAGTTGTATTTTGCTCATTGGATATTAACCGATTTCCACATGTTGAAATTGAATAAGACTGAACCAAACTAATGACATTTAAGTTCAACACTTATGTATTTGTACAAACAGAACTTAGGTTTGGCATAAACCAGGAATTAGATAAATTGAGTTACTTTTGACAGCTATTTGAAGATGATCTCACGCACAAATTGCATGTCTAAACACAATGTCTTACTACAACAAGGCGTCTGCCAGTCGGTGCACTAATTCCGTGTGCTTATCAGTCCAGATGTTTGTGGCACGCTTATTGCACCTCCTCAACTTTTTAGAACCATAGCTGGGGTTATCGCGCTTGATTGCTAGCTGCTAAGTACAGCTGTAACAGCAGTTAACGCATAAAAATTGGCCAAAGCCATACACCTCGAAGATGCCTTCTTAGGCACTACAAGTAGCGAATGAGCAAATTACCTTGACCTAAGGCCAGGTATGAAGGTCCAGACCAAGGTCACACCATCTTGGGCTTGCTGTGTGGGATAGTTTGCGGTGCTCATTTTGAACTTATTGACAGCAGGAACCGCATTACACATCTTCCATTGATTTCTTAGAGATCAGAAAGGTCATTGACCTAAGATGACCCGGTCGATATTTTGTATTATGAACATACTACCTGGCTTAATCTTTGTCGCTTATTCAAATGTAAAACTCATAGCAGTCTTGTATAATTTTGGTAACCATGACCTTCAAAAGGTCAAACAAAGTCACTGACGTTAAATGGGCTTTTAACATTTTGTTTAGAAACAGTTTCCTTGGTGTGACTTGAAGACCCAAGGTTATTTGGCCCCAAGGTGTTTATAAGTTAATATTCCGAATTTAATTGGATGACTGTCTAAAAAAAATATCACAGATGCATGGCTTCGTCCAACACTCTGTTGTCGCATCAGATTGAACGATTTCCTAGAAACTGCCTTCGCTAAAGCTACGGTTTTTAAGCCTGTCATATGTTTACGAACTTACAATTTGCATCTTATTGATTATACCAAGGAATGCGCTCTTCATTTGCCTGCAGCTTTGCAAAGTTTGGCGTGGCTGCGCCTTCCCTTCCAGAATTTATTCTTGATAAAGCCCTCGGGGTGAGGTCAAATTGATCTCTCCACCTAAGTGCCTCTCCCCCTCCGCCTCTCCCGGGTGGTCGCCTAAATGCACTGCAATTGTGTGGTATGTGGGTGGATCAACTTGTTCTGTCCTCCCTCCACCCGGGATCGCAAAAACTAAGAGGGCTAGACACCAAATTCACATGAGACGTAGGCATAAATGCGAGCTTAATTGTATAAATTCCAGGCCCCTAAGATGCAACCTTTAGATCCAATAAGATCGAACAATGTTAAACACCACATACGGTTAAATTCCACAGTGCTCTTAGATCTTTTTATGCAACCGACCTTTGTTTAGACACCTCCTGCAAATAAAATGTCCCCGGTATTCGATGTCATACCGTGTCAGCAAATTCCGAAATCCGAGAAAGTCCGACATTAGCGTCAAAAATACCCCTAAAACAAAGATTCGTAAAACCGGTTTTCTAGTTATAGTGGTTTTGGTTTTGCTCTTGCATCTCACCTCCATGCCTTACGAAAATTTGGCGCAGCTGTGCCCAATTTGGAACAGCTCTAAGCGCTTGAATAACAAATATATTGCATTTAATAATAACATATCTGTTGTAAGGTCACTGGCGTATGCTGCGCCAAGGCAGGCCATGGCTGTCAGCGAAGGCAATGCTCAGAAAATTGTTCCATTTGTTGCGACAACGTATTGTTAGAAGATGCTAAACAGCTTTGAAGATGGTCTCTTAGACATTACGACTATTGTGGTTAGGATAGCCACTGTGCAGTTTGAAAGTTATTTCGGATTAACCTTCGTGAATGGTCAAATGATTCCTTCGATCGGAGCGCATGTAAACATCATATGGCAGACAGTAGGGAACATTGTTCACAGTGGAATGCCGGGCGAGCTGTGTGGCGATGGCCGTGATCTCTACCATTGTGGGCCTCGCTGGCTGCGGTATGCACTTTCTTGGTCCTTGACTTGGCTCTGTGAATGACGCAGCAAGATCACCACAGCGCGCTTTACGAAGAAAATCCAGCTATGCATCTATCTCTGCTTAGATTTCCATGTTATATGTATGACGTAGCATGGATTGGCTAGGGTCAAATATTTTCAACGTGAATACTAGGATCTAACTATTTTTAACACGAATAACATGAGCTCAAGACAACACAGGGAAAGCACGACTCATCACTGCAACTCAGTGTTGCGAAGGCTACGACGTGCGCCTTTCTACCACTCGCAAGACTAGTTTCCCGTCAAGTTGCGGTAACACAGCACCAGCTTCGCACCTTCTTGTACACCGCTGTCTTTCCGCTGTGTTGTACACCGCTGTCCTCCCGCTGTGTTGTACACCGCTGTCCTCTGCCGCTGTGTTGTACGCCGCTGTCTTTCCGCTGTGTTGTACACCGCTGTCCTCCCGCTGTGTTGCACCGCTGTCTTTCCGCTGTGTTGTACACCGCTGTCCTCCGCTGTGTGTACGCCGTGTCTTTCCGCTGTGTTGTACACCGCTGTCTTTCCGCTGTGTTGTACACCGCTGTCTCAGCTGTGTTGTACACCGCTGTCTCCGCTGTGTTGTACACCGCTGTCCTCCCGCTGTGTTGTACACCGCTGTCCTCCCGCTGTGTTGTACACCGCTGTCTTTCCGCTGTGTTGTACACCGCTGTCCTCCCGCTGTGTTGTACACCGCTGTCTTTCCGCTGTGTTGTACACCGCTGTCTTTCCGCTGTGTTGTACACCGCTGTCTTCCCGCTGTGTTGTACACCGCTGTCTTTCCGCTGTGTTGTACACCGCTGTCCTCCCGCTGTGTTGTACACCGCTGTCTTTCCGCTGTGTTGTACACCGCTGTCTTTCCGCTGTGTTGTACACCGCTGTCCTTTCCGCTGTGTTGTACACCGCTGTCTTTCAGCTGTGTTGTACACCGCTGTCCTCCCGCTGTGTTGTACACCGCTGTCCTCCCGCCTTGTATTTACACCGAGGTGGTCACAGAGCTCCGTCCAGACAAGGGAGAAGCTTGAGGGCACCAGTTCGGTGCTGGCAGATGGCGGCTTAAGGTAGTCATAGCCAGAGCTTTTTCGTTGATCGCCCTACGATGCGTGGTCGGCAACTTGACCCCAGTCACCTCACCCCAGAGCCTATTTCATGATGAGCAGCCCAAGCTCAAAGAACGTCTTAGGGGAAGGAGGCTGATGCGTCTCCAGCATCAACTGAGGACGGGCAGAATGCACGACCTGGCCACCCTTGACTCTGTCGTCTTAGGAAGTCTGACAGGCTGGTACCAAACAGCATTGGATCGATGTCGGTAGCCCCAGCATGACGTCGTCGAACCGGAATGGCACTGGTTTGTTCGGACCGGCTTGATCAAAGCTATTAGTATTGGGTCCTGCGCATTAATAGGACTTCACGAAGCACTCAAATGCTGAGGCTACATGGCGCCGCCTGTCTCACCCTGTTCCACGGCATGCGCTACAACAAAACTCCTACCGACAGGAGTGCTACGACATCGCTTCTACTGCCAATACGCACACACGACATTAGTGCTACGCGACAAAACTTTTACTGCAGAAACCCACACCCGTCATTACTTTTGCTGCAGTCACTTATACAGTCACTTATTGCGCATGACGTCACTTCTACTGCAAAGAGCTACACGCAACATTAGCGCTACACGACAAGACTTATGCTTCAAAAATTATAATTGTCATGGCCTCTACCGCAAAACCTTCAATGGTCCCTTCCTACGCTCAACATTACGTCCGCTGCTGATGCTCGCTGTGGAGTGCCAAACATGTGGACATCCAGCGGGGATGTAGGAATAGTTCACAGGTTAGGAGGGAACCGCACTCGGACGGCAATATTCCAATGAAATGCTCGTGGTGCTGATACGGAAAGCTATTTATTTATTATGTTGTGCGATTTTGTGGAATTGTAGTGCTTGGCGTGACAGCAAAGGCTGTTTTGGTGGCAAGATCTCAATGATGGGTTTAACTTTTCAAGCAGAAGTGATGCCGCTTTTCAGTGGCCTGACCAATAAATTGGAGTGCTGAGGGGGTAAGTTGTGGATTATGGCCTGTATCTTATTGCACAAATGTAGCATATAAGTATTGACCGGAGTATAAAATTGATGGTAAGTAAAAATGTATCGGTTGCTACAGTAGACATATTGGCGAACATTGGCTTTTTTAAATAAAGGTTTTTCATTGCTTTCAAGTTTTGTTGTGTAGCACTCATGTCACCAATAAATCGTTGCGGTTGAAGAAATGCCGCATATAGGTAAAGGCTGTTTAGGTCTTTGCTTTACAAGTAATGACTAGGAAAGGTTTTTGCAGTGTAAGTTTTGTCGAGAAGTGTTCTTGTCGCGTAGGAGTGTTTGCAGTAGAAGTAATGCTGCGCATAATTGAAGACTGCACACGTTTTTACAGGAGGTGTAACGACGTGTATAACCTTTGAGGTGTAAATTTTTGATGTAGCACCCATTCATGTCTTTCATAAGTCTGTACCGCAAAAACAAAGTATGTATAAGCTTCGCGCAGTAAAAGTAATATCGCGTGTAACTGATGCGGGACTTCTTTCGGAAGGAGATTTTCCCCTGGCGTAATATCGTGATACCCTTTCACCCTGGCAGAAAGTGTGAGCGCGGAGGGGAGTCGGGTCCCGTAGCGCTGGTTGTCCAGGCGCGCAGCTTTCCCACAACTCTGCCGACACGCTTAATATCAGTTTCAAAGTGGGTTCGGCGGCATAGGCCTAGTGTTTGGCATCTTTGAGTCGCATGACGGCAGGTGACAGCTCTGAGCCTGTGCTGACCTCGGTCGCCAAACGACCCCCAACCCATCTACTTTGGATCATTCCTAGATGTGTGGAACTGGCCAGGACAATTGCCCCGAGTGAAGTCCCCCTGCCGGCTGTCGTTTATTTTAACATTTCCTCGGGTGGGGGGTCAAATTGCCCCGAGTGAAGTCCCCCTGCCGGCTGTCGTTTATTTTAACATTTCCTCGGGTGGGGGGTCAAATTGCCCCCCTCCCCCCCGAAGGTTTTTCGGAATGGTTTCCGAACGGAGCGGCTTAGCCACGCAAAATTTTGCATGGCTGTAGACAGTTGAGTAGCGGATGGTTTGACATGAACATTTGTATGTACCTCTTAAGGTCGCTGACCTATGGCAGGTCAGAGTCAGGTCGTGGTTTCAGTGAAGGCAATTTCTGGGGAATCGTTCAATCTGATACAATAACGGAGTGTTTGACAGTCATACATTTCTGAGATGCTTTCTTAGGCCCCACAAAAATTGAATGAGTAAAATATGTTGACCTAAGGTCAGCTATGAAGCTCAGACCAAGGTCAAAACTAACTCGACTTGTTACTCAAGGGGTTGCTGTGTGGGATAGTTTGTGGTGTTCATTTCGAATTTATTGACGGCAGGAACCGCATTATACATCTTCCATTGACTTCTTAAAGGTCAGAACAGGTCATTGACCTAAGATGACCCAGGTCGACGTTTTGTTTTAGGAACATACTGCCTAGCGTAATCTCTTTCTGGTTTGTTCAAATGCAAAACTCAGAGCAGTCTTGCATAATTTTGGTAACCATGACCTTCAAAAGGTCAAACAATGTCACTGACCTCAAATGGGCTTGTGATCTTTTGCGTAGAAACAGTTGCCTAGGTTCTGGGGGCACCTTGGGGTCCAACCTGGAAATTGACCTTGTTTGACCTTATTTGACCTGAAGGTCATGACCTAGGAACCTCAAACTATGACGTAAGTAAGTTCACGTATAGATCAACACACCCTGTAAATTTGGTGTCTCTAGCTTTCTTAGTTCCTGAAATCTCAGAGAGGTCAGTTTGCCCCGCCCCCATCCGAGCGACGGGTATCTAGCCGACCACCCAGGCGCGTGTTAAGACATGTGCGTACTTTCACAGCATGGACCCGGGTGCAGACTGCGAGAAGATGATGCATCCTGTAGCGCTGTTCGATCGCGAGATACGTGTCATTGCTGGTGCATTTACGTGTCGAAACATGACGAGTGACAGGCCTAGACACATTTTAAGGGAAGTGGTGGGGCTAACGGTTGCGTACCGCTCAGGCCTAACAATTGCCTCAGGACAACCTCGCTCAAGGAGTGTCTTGAGTCCTGACCTCAGACGTACAATGCTGGTTGGAACCCCCTTGACGTCCATCAGATCGCATGTAATGCCCCGGTGCGCTTTTCCTCTGGCAGCCTTTCCGTCAGGCGGGATTTGACTTCTGCACGGTTCGTGGAGCCCTGCATCTTCACCTGTGTCCTGGAACTTCCCCCTCCCCCCCCCCCCCTCCTCGGAACTGAGTTTCAATCGACGGATGCGCTGGATCGACGATGATTATTTGAAACCAATGCTTTTGGCCTTAAGTACGAAATGTGTTTAAATGTTCGTGTCTCAAGACCAAACATGTCTGCAATGGCGACGTCAGGAAGACTGACAAAGGAGGGAGCTGGCTAAAAGCGAGGTCTCAACCATCCCATCGTGATCACGCCTTTGGTCCTGCCGATAGTCATTGCCATAAATTGACACGCATCTTTTAGGCAATATTTTATTAACTAATTTAAGATATTAGTAGACATGGTCTAATTTGTAAAGAAAATGTACATTCCTTTTACATTCTTTGTACATTTGCACAGGGAATGTATGGTTCCAGAC